AAACGCTCATTTTTGCCATTTTCATGCTGGGAAAAGCCCAAATATGTGTTCCTCATGGTGAGAAGGTCCCGAAAAGATGAAAAACGGAAAAACGAAATTCTGCCGAGCCGCTGCCTTCAATATCACCAGATGACTTCTATCAAACGATAGGTATGGCAGAATCGACGGCACAGATGACTTTATCAAATGATAGGTAAGGCACTAGTCAATAGAATTCTGTTGAAGCAAAGTAAATGAATATTACCAGATGAAATTAACGCGCAAAACATGAAAATTTCAACACTCAAAACAGCAACTCACACTGCTCCTTCGGTGTAGTTTTTGCCCTCCTCTTTGTCGGTCAACTTTTTCTGCAGAGTCTCCACCGTAGGCACAAAGTAGGCCACGAACTGCTCGCCATCATCATCTTGCATGCCTCTGAAAAAGACCGTTATTAACCAGAAATAACGTCACTGCTTGGAGATTAGCTTACTTGATGTGACTTTGAGTGACCATGCTTTCACATATATCAGCGGAATAATTAGCTGGAGCAGGATCTGCGTCGAATTGAACCAGTGCGAAGGGATACTTCCACAGCTGAAGAAAAGGTAGTGAAAAGGGTATAGAAACTCAAAACACAAAAAATACCTCAAAATCTGGCAATATAGGCACCTCTTCAATGGCTGTAACACCTTTTTTGTCAAAGTGTTTGCGAACTGGAACTTTGCTCTGTAATAACAATGAGACCGGTAAAATAACAATAAAATTATGACTATTTGGAAGCAAAACAAAAACGAAAAGTTTAGCGCTTACGTCTTCGAAGGATTTCTTGATGGAATCGATTTGACTTTGACGATCACGGAAAAGATTCAAATTTTCCTTATTCTTGGTAAGGTGATAGCCAACCTTGATCTCTTGCCTGAATATGTAATTTTAGAAAATATTAAAATTATCTATCTCCAAGATCTACGTCTACCTATCAGCAGCTACTCCAAATCGATTGAATTCAGAGGATATATACTGCGTCTTTCGCATCCAAGGTACGACCTTGGAATGCTGAGCTGACCTAAACAAGTCAATGCCTTCGAAAAGCTCATTACTTTAGCAAGGATCTTTAGCGATCAACGGTTTAAATTAGGACTAGCAATTTGAAAAAAACTGAATCAGGATTTGAAAAAAAAAACACAAAGATACAGTGAACTCACCTCTTTATTTGCTTCGAATTAGAATCCTCGTCTTCGAGCAAAATAGCATCCTTTTCGTTCAGCTAAAAAGTAGCTACTCTCACACGGAAAACAAATAACTAAAAATCAAGATGTATAAATACGAGATGCTTCAGGAAGCCGAAACTGAAGATGAGACAATCATAGATATTCGCACCTGTATTTCAGCATGCGAGTCCACTTTATAAGTATTTGGATCGATCAAGTCCAAGTTCAAACCAATGTCCATTTCACACTGCACCTCATATTTGTACTCCATTTCTAATGATGTGGGCTTGTAATCAATGAAACTAAAAAAAAGATTAGAACGAAACTTCAAAATAAAAAATGTGAATATGAAAAACAGAACTGCCAAAAT